GTTATATGACATGTCCAAGTTTTGCAAGCGATGGAGTTTACCGATCTTCTTTGGTATCTGACCTGATAAGTTGTTATATGACATGTCCAAGTTTTGCAAGTAGTGGAGTTTGCCGATTGTCGTTGGTATCTGACCTGATAAGTTATTATATGACATGTCCAAGTTTTGCAAGTAGTGGAGTTTGCCGATTGTCATTGGTATCTGACCTGATAAGTTGTTATTGCTTAAAAATAATTCCTCCATATGGATGAGAGTACCCAAAGTCTCTGGAATGTATCCGCTAATATTATTCCTTGATAAAGATAAGTATACCAAGTTGGTGAGGTTGCCGATGCTCGGTGGTATCCAACGGACAATATTATTCCTTGATAAATCTAACGTTACCAAGTTGGTGAGGTTGCTGATGCTCGGTGGTATCCAACCGACAATATTGTTGTATGATAAATCTAAGTATACCAAGTTGGTGAGGTTGCCGATGCTCGGTGGTATCCATCCCACAATTTTGTTGCCTGATAAATGTAATTCCAATAGGTTACTGAGGTTGCCGATGGCCTGTGGTATTTTTCCGTTGATGCCATTATTGGACAAATCTAGGTACTCCAATCGGACAGAATCTCCCACGGTCGGTGGAATTTCTCCGCTGATCAAATTGTACCCCAAGTCTAAATGTCGCAAGTTTGTGAGATTCCCCAGAGAAGCTAAGATATGAAGAGTGACAATAGAATTCCATGATAAGTCCAGGTACTCCAGGTCTCTAAGGCTCCCTGGAGGAATATCTCCAGATAATTGATTCGAGCTCAAATCCAAGTGCTTCAGGCCCCTGCTACTGACATTGTTCAGAATTTCACGAATTTCTCCTTCGAGGGAGTTGAATGACAAATCCAACTCCTTCAGATTACTGAGAGCTCCGAGAGCAACTTGTAACGACTCGATAGTGAGACTCCCACAGCCAGAAAGAAGGAGGTTCTCGAGGCTGGTGGCGTTAGAAAGCCATCTTAGCATGGCAGACGTGATGTTGGAATTCCAAGACAGATCCAACGTGGCGATGGCTGTCAGATTAAAAGGGGGCAAAGGAGATGGAACATATGGCAGGTCTGCATAGCTCAAACGCAACACTTCGAGTGCGGGAATGGAATTTATTACATAAAACCAATTAATTGCCTTGGAGAGGTTGACAAAACTCATGTCAATATATTTTAGAGAAGGAATACGGGAGAGCCAATCGAGATCGTCAACATGTAGAAAATCATCATAATACCATCCCTGCAGGTCGAGATAGTGGAGGTTTGAGAGGTTCTCGAACGGAGGAGGAATTGGTCCATCGAACATGGCATTAGATAGGTTGAGATATTCCAAGTGGACTAGTGAAGCGATCATTTTAGGCACAGGGGCGTGGGAGAAGTTATTCATGCTCAAATCCAAATACTTCAAGTACTTCAGTTCTTGCAAAGATGGATTTACCTTGCTGGCGCCTATTGTTTCCACATCGTAAAGCACATCCCACATATCGTATGTGTATGTGTATGTGTATGTGTATGTGTAGGGGTAGCGGAGGTCGAGCTTGGTGACATGGCCGGTGGTGTTGTCGCAGGCCACACCTCTCCACCCACAGCAGTCTTTGCCGGTCCAAGAAGAAAACCTGTCGCCGGGGTCGTACATATCGGATTTGATGGCGAGGAGAGCTCTCCTCTCATTCTCCATGCAGCTGCTGCCGATTCCCTCCACCTCGACATGATCCTCATCGCCGAATCCATGGCCGAGACAGCAGGAGACGAGAAGTAGGGCCACGAGCATCATGAGACGCTTCGAGGCAATACGTCCGTCCTGGAAACTGCCGCTACCAGCCGCAGTCATTGATTGAGCGCTCAAGAGAGAAGAAATGTGAAGGTGTGAGGTTGGAGAGGATGTCTCTGTGGGTATGTATAGGCACATCACCACCGGAAATCCCCATGACATCTGCGCACATTCCCTGTAGATTTGATCCCGTGGCTAGAACGCAGTCAAGGTCAATCACACTTTGACTTTAGTGTCGCT